TGTACTCCGACTGGAATCCTGCATCCGACTGGAATCCTGCAGACATTTCGCCAAAATCTCACTGGGCATCTTCAATGCTCGCGCTTCGAAAACACTTCGAGTGTTCGAGATTTTGGCGAAACGTCTGCAGGATTCCAGTCGGATGCAGGATTCCAGTCGGAGTACAACGAGCGAACGGATGATATATCTATATACATATAATATTGAACTCCGACTGGAATCCTGCAGACGTTTCGCCAAAATGCTCGCGCTCCGAAAACACTTCGAACACTCCCGAAATATAGTGTCATCACATATATATATATAATATTATATATATATATATATATATTATATATATATATATATATATATATATATATATATATATATATATATATATATATATACAATTTCCAATTAATGTAATTTAAAGTAATATACACGGTGTTCCGTTTAATATGTATGGTTTCTCAACCATTTGTTTTCTAATTCTTTTCTCTTACGTAGCAGTTTATCAAAAAATTTAATCTTATTTGATTTTGGTATACATTTTCTATATTTAAATGCAAACGCACTGTCAAAACACCAAATAAAAAAGTTGAATTTTCAACGAATTATCTGTATGCAATTGATGTTGGTTTTAATATTTGATGTGATGAGTCTTTTTTTTAATTTATCAATTTGCCAAAATTATCCGAAAACAATGGCGCTCAGAAAGCTGTCACGTATTCAATTGCTGTAGCAATCCATTTATTTTCTTTGACACACTTCCTTGTCTCACATTTTATTGGATTATATAAGATTTATGTTCTATAGATTGTGACTGTTAAAATCTCAGACGGAATATCTTCGAAGCTATGAAGACAATAAATACTTAAAATACAATAATTGTTAATTATTACAGAACAACATTCTAAAACGATTTTTTTGTGCTAGACTAGTCATTTAAAATTGTTGAACCTCCTAACATTTGAAATGGCTGAACCTCCGTGTTTATTGGATTGATATTGCAATAAGAAAGTTTTACGAAATTTTGGAGGAACTTCGTTAGTTAGATTTTTGAAAAAATTGCTGGTAAGAAATTGTGATACATTTTGTTCGTTCCAAACACAGGCCCATAGTGTTGAACAAGTAATCCAGTTGAATTTAAAAAACTAAGTAGAGTAGGTTTTTTGAATATTACTTTTTAAGGTTTGCGTTATTGAGAAAGCAAGAAAAATTAAAATATTTCAGTTAATCTCTTAAAAATAAATCATGGTGATTGCCGAAACGTCAGCAAATCCGATTCAGCAACAACCGAGGCAGGTGGAGTCCAAATTTATAGTTATTTTCGTGTTTTATCTCATTTTAGGAGATCTATTCCTCAAGAAATTTACTTGCCGAATGCTTCGACCTATACTGCAGATATAAGGAGAGAAAGTGATATAGGTCCGCAAGTGACGCATCTCTATACGCTGAGGAATAAGGGCCCAGCAACCGTTTACGAGGCCGAAGTATATTTCTTCTGGCCTTGGCAAACACTTGGGGGTACGATTTATTAATTTATATTATTTAATTGGTCCCTAATTTCATTTTATGTCCAGCTGGGTGAGTTATGCCATAATTTACAAAATATTGGAAAAAACAAATAAATGGAATCAAAATCATCTAAGGCCCATGGACATCACATTGGTTAGTCTTGATTAGTTGAAAGATACACAGCGTATCTCACGGTTTATGGATATTTTGTCATATGTTCTTCCATATTTATCAAAAAACTGTGCGCAATCCGTCTTTGGCTTTAGTTTTGGAAATATTTTCTTTTTTATACTTCTCTTCGTAGTTTAAATATTACACAGGGTCTGGCGTAATGTTCGGGAAATATAGTAACCGTAGATTCTAGACATCAAATTATACCACTTGAAAGTTTGATTTCCAAATTATTTGATAAGTTCTGAAGAGGATAATGTAAAAATTTGGAAAAATTGTGTTTTTAAGTAAGAGGAATCTGAATTTGAACTTTGTTACAACGTTTCAATGGAATATTCTTATTAAAACTTTTAAACTTCTGATATATAGGTTTGAAAACACAAGGAATGTATTGTGTAGTATTAGAAACACTTTTAGAATTAAGCCAGAAATCTATGAAATTTCATTAATCGCGTTAATATTGCTTAGAAATTGATACAAATCGTCAATAAATTCGCCAATGTATCATTAAAATGTATTTTTAAGGATTTTGTGAGAAAATGTCTATTTTGAAATACAATTTCTAAGCCTTTTGTTGCCATTTGTTTACATTATATGTAAACACAGGTTTTTAATAAGATATGTAAAATCAATAAAATGATTATCGATCCCAATTCTGGGAAAAAAAATAGTTTTCTTGCCTTACTACCAAAAATAGTTTCCACGGATTTACTGCTATTAAGGTTTAAACAATTTCGACACAAATCAGAGTTTATTGCTGCTACTGCTTGCTAAGATTCTTCCGGTGTAAAATAAATATATAACTCTACATCTGAAAAATGTAATAACATGACCAAATAGCAGATGGACAATTTTAAACAAAAACAGAAAATATTTTGGTCCTAGTACAAAACTCCACGGAACTCCTTTTTTAAAATACAAAAGTTAAGACGGTTGATGTTTAGAACTTACAAATTGCATTCTATTTTTAAGATAATTTGACAGCATATCTATACCCTGGTTAGAAAGAGAGATATAGTTAAATATTGAACTTAGTAATCTATAATTTGAAAGTGTCAAAAGCCTTTGCATAGGCAAGCGCTATAAAAACTGTAATAAATTGTATTAATAATTTCATCTGCTACACTTACTAGTGCAATTATGGTGACTCCTGTAACCAGACTGGTTTTGAGGTAATATTGTAGTTTTTCAAAAATCTTGAAATATGTAGGTAAGATGTTAATTGGTCGAATGTTATATATATATATATATATATATATATATATATATATATATATATATATATATATATATATATATATATATATAACACTTGGAATTTCTTCTTATATCGACCGTACTAAACTTATTTGAATTCAAAGGATATCGGGTAGCGGTCCGTGGTTAAAATAGAAAGCTCCTTTTTTCTTTAACACTCAATATTTCGTCAATTTATTTGTTGACTTCTTCAGGAGTGAAAAAATTAGAGTCTACCACATAGTTCCTCAAAAACCATACTTTACAGTTAAGGAATATGAACGAAGCGACATAATGAAACTTTTTCATTATGTCCCTACGTCTACATAATTGAACCTGGCTGGCATGTGCAGGGTGGTGGCAATTGTGGTGTTTTAACATATAAAATGTATTTCTGAACTAAATAGTGCGAAATCGATTTACATGTTAAGGGCTTGATATTTGAGAAACATTTAATGATGACAACCGCATGGCAATATCTTCACTACCACGTTTTTCAATGTTCGGCCCTTTCGAAAATTGCACATAACTATTTTATTTATGAAGATTTTGGATTCGGATAAGAACATCATTAGTGCATTTTTTAAGGTAAATGCAGTGGCGTACTCAGATTTTACCTACAGTTCTGTTTTCTCATACGTGAATATAACTTTCTCATTTTATCGGGCAATGTTCTTAAAAAATGCTTGCGCTTATTAGCTGTGATAAAAAAAGGCGGAAATATAGGACATTTTTTTGTTGATGTATTAAAGTTTAAAATAATTTAACAAGCACTGGAACTTTAAAAAACATAAGGCCAATTTAAAATAACTTAAATGAAAAACACAAAATGTAATATTTTAATTTTAGATATTATTTTAATGTTTGATTATTTAGAAATCAAAATTATAGTTATTTTAACCTAATAAGTAAAACATAATAAATATTAGAAAACAAAAAATTAAAATTGAATCTTTTACATTATATTGAAGTATTTTATCCTAAATACCATGAACCTCTTATAGAAATGATCCAGAAGCAGACGCTTCTTTAGTGGCTTCATCCATCCCTGCTATGGTTCGGAAAATTTTGTCTTTAAAGATAAGATCTTTTAATCTCCCTTATGAAAACAAATCTTGAGGAGTTGAATCACATTATCCAAACTTTTAATAATAAATACTCCTACAAAAAATTAATGGTAAATCTTCCAAAAATGGAACAACACATGTTCGCAAAATATTTATATAATCATCCGCTGTCATATTTGCATTAAAAAAATGAGGTCCCACAAATCTACCTCGGAAAATTCCTGCCCATATATATTCAATCCAAAGTGAGCTTCTTGATTTTGATACACTACAGCATGAGGATTTTCTATGCTCCAGCGATGAGAATTGTATCTGTCAAATATACCGGAATAGTCAATTCTCTGCTACCTTCATCCCTTTCATATAATTGTTGGACTTTTCTGGTACGATATGGCTTGAATATATGTTTTTGTAAAGTAATCCATACTTTAGTTTTTCCAGCACTTTTTGCGTTAGCTAGTGCCCTTGAGGATATGTTTTTATTTTCATTATACTTCTGCAATTATATTTAATTCCAGGAGTTCCTGTTTTCAATTTAAGTGGTTTTGATTTTGCCTGGGCTTTTTGAAACTTACGTAATTGGTGAAATTATTTTTTAAGGTCCGAAATATTTGCTTGGTGCCGCTCTGGATATATATTGAAATAAAGTTCATTGACTGCCTCTGCGTTTTAGTTTGACAAAATGTAACACTTTATCATATCATACTTTTCCTAATTTTGGTATACTTACATTATGTGTGACAGAACACAAAATTCAATTAAGAATAAAAGTTTTGCTCTTAGCTGACATTGACATAAGCAAAAAATGCCTTAAATTTCCGCCTTTTTTCATCACAGATACTAACAAATCTATATGATTGTATAAGTCTCGACACGGGCATTTTTTTAGACTATAACCAACTACATAACATAATCCGAATCTAAAATTTTCATAAATAAAAAAGTTATGGGCGATTTTCAAAAGGCTCGAACGATCAAACACGCAATATATCTCTGTTGCTATTGAAGATATCGCCATGCGGTTTGAACCATTAAATGTTTCTCAAAATTCGATCCCTTAACTCGATTTTGTTCTGTCTAATTATGAAATACGATTTTTCTGTTAAAGTACTCCAATTACGACCACCCTGTACACTGTGTCCCATCTTGGTCTCGACGGAGAGATATGTCCATTCTTAGTGAAGATAGAGCCTTGCGTTTTTTCAAACCTTTGGTACTTTTTTGTTCAACGAAATATGACGTTAACAAAATTTTCATGACTTGCTTAATTTTTAAAATACAGGGTGATTTTGGAAATTTGAAGTTTTGGGGCACCCCTCGGATCTCGGTTATTCTATGAAATGTGGGAAAGGTGAAAAGCGCATCGTATATAGATTTTCATTTTATAGATTTCATTCATTGGTTTCGTCTTTTAGAAAAAATAAATAAAGTTTAGTTTTTTTCAATAGAACACCGTATATCTTCTAGATCAATTTGATTCCGCTTGGTAATAGTATGGGTTATTTGTATAAATGACCTCACAAAAACGATTTTTTTTATTTTAATGAGAGTATTTGCGGTAGGCCTTGGAAAAATACTTTTATAATTTGAATGAAGCTAACTTAGTTTAATATTAATATTTTATTTGACCGAGAACAAGACCGTTTTGGTTTCATTGTGGCCTGTTTCATACTAATCACTAAAATCGTATATCGTATTTTTGAAGGTTTTTTGACTGCCGAGTTGTGTATGGAAAATTACAAGAGGTAATCTCATCAGTATTATTAGGTAATGTGTCATTGGCGCATATAAATTTCATATTTTCATATTTTACATTTTTTTGGTGGAAACATTTAAAAAGTAAAATAATTGTTAATCACCACAATAATATCGGAGAGTTCCGAACAGACTCTGAAGCAGCTTTAGAAAGTTTGTGAATGCAACCTCTTATTCTTTCTGAGTTTGAGTACTCTGCAGAGAATTCAAACTGTGTGTATGTTGTGCGTTAGACAAAAATCGTCCACATTTTGAACAGTTTTTTTAGCTTAATAAATTAAAATAATTATGTTCAGATGCAAAAAATGCTAATATTTAATAATTTTTACGTTCCTTATCATTTTAAATAATAGTTTTAATATCTATAGCTATATAAAGCTATATAAAGCTATATGAAATATTACAAATAAAATATAACTTTTTTTAATTTTTCAGGTGAAGATTTGTTGTATTTGCTTGACCAACCTCACGTTCCAGAGGGTATTAAATGCGACATACCTGCTCCGGCAAATTACAAAAATTACGAGGTAAAAACCGACTACTTAACACTACGGCCTTTTATGAAAATTTTCATTTTTTCAGCTTGATTATTACACAAAATCTATTTGGGAACGCCTCCGTATTGACTCTTCCAGTAAATACGGCGAAAAATATGGCGAACATTCCGTGGTTCACGTAGAAACCGGAGCCAATATCCCCGCCATAGTTGGAGGAACGACGATTAAAGGACAAAACTCCATGGAACTAGATGAAAAAATTAAACAATCCGGAGGAGATGCGTCTGAAATTTTCAACGAGCGTCACAATATTAACGCTACCTCCGGTCAATCTAGTACCGGAAATACGAGCTTGGCGGGAGTAACTGTTTATACAAAATCCGAATGGACCACAGTTATACAAAATGGAAAACCGGTTACCAAATGGACGAACGTTACTACCGTCAAAGATGCGTCAGGGAAAATCTTGAACACTTATTATTCCACTGATAACGACGGTAGTCAAAACGAACGCGACAGTTTTGGTCAAAAGGTCATCGGTATTTATGAAAAACCAGCGATCCAGCCTACCTACAGTTCTTCTGGAAATGGTCCTAGCCAGCCGCCAAGGTTAGAACAAGGACGTCATAGACAAGAGGAGAGGCTGAAGACAGAAGAATCCAGAAGACAAGGCGAAAAGTGGCGATCACACGACCAAAGGAGCAATTCAACTTGGCCCAGTTCAAGAACTCAAATTAATTACCATGATGCAGATAACACGGAACACCAAGAAGGGTCTAATAGACAACAAGCGTATGAAGAGAGGTTGAGGACAGAAGAATTTAGAAGACAACAAGGCGAACGATGGCGAGCACATGATCAAAGAAACAATTCAACCTGGGTGAATTCGAAAACTCAAAGTAATGCAGGACACTATCAATCTGGAAGAAACGAACAAACATTGGGGAGTAGTAGAGTCGACAACATAAATGCTGGTCAGCAGAATATTTATCATAACTATGGCCAAGGTTCTAGTGGTGAAAGATTTCAAACGACCGCTATCGAACTAGATGGTTTGGGTAGCATGTTAGGAAGGCAATCAATTGTGTTAGGAAGACCTCAATCATCTGAGGCAGAGTTTTCTGGAGGTGAAAGTGAGGGATATCAGTGGCAATCTTCGGGCAGGCGAATCCATAGTGGCACAATCGCAAGGACGGATGACGAAACATCATCCGAAAATAGAGATTATCGCAATTCTCGCGACCACCAAAACAGCAATTCGGATTTGAGAACCAGGACCAAACGCCAAATTGAACCGCTCGACCCAGATATTGACCAAATACGAAAATGCGAAACGACGAATTGTATCTACGTCAGATGCATCGTTAGTACATTGAAGAGAGACGAGTTTGTTTCTATCGCGCTCAGATCTCGCCTCAATCTCCGAGCAGTTAAGCATGTGAGTCCCTTTGTGCATTTACGACGGTAACTTTTGCATTTTTTTGCATTTTTAGATTCAGGTGATTATTTATCTCAATCGTTTTTGTTTTTAAAAAAATTATCCAATTTTGAACATTATATATACCTGCTTTAATCATAGAAAAAATTATAAATAAAACCTGTTGCTTTGAAAAAATAGATGAAATCGACTCGGACATCGGCGTCCATCTTCTTAATTTTTTCGATTTTCGATTGTTTTTTGAAAATGGCTCTGAAACACGACAAATGACGTAAATTTGAAGCTATCGATTTGAATGGAATGGAATGAATGGAATGAATATGAATCTTGGTCCGCTGACCGAGCTTATGGAAATTGGCGGGTCGGTCTAAGAAAAACATCACTTCTCGAAAACTCTTTATATGATCAAAAAAATTCTTGGAAACGGAACGTTATACTGCGTAAACATTTATAAATTTCTACAAAACTTCTGGATTCCCCCTGCGTCGGTTTTTGCTGAGTTGAACTTGCTGACGTTTCGCCAATCATCCTGTTGACTTCTTCAGAGCTTTACTGAAACTGGATCGTATTTTACTCCGTACCTGCGTCTTGAGTGACTGATTCCCATATTGCTGACAGCTAAAGACCTGAGTCGCGGTTAAGATTGTTAGGTTGTTTATAGATTTCTATAAACTCTCGGATTTTTCGTTGATAGAAGAGTTGATTACATGCAAGAATTTTAGTTTGAACGAACAAAAATTTTTGACTTTATTTGTCTTAGCCGTAAGACTCTTTCGTGTTCTTTAAGCCTAGTGGATAGTTTTCGTCCAGTCTCTCCAATGTATTCCTTGCTGAAATGATGTTGTTTAGCACCCCCCCCCCCCCAAACAAAATATAAGCAGGTACAGAGTAAAATACGAGCCAGTTTCAGTCAAGCTCTGAAGAAGCCAAAAGGATGATTGGCGAAACGTCAGCAATTTCGACTAAGCAAAAACCGACGCCAGGGGAATCCAGAAGTTTTGTAAAAAGCATTACAGTAGCCTGTGGAAGTTTCTTTGAAAAATGAACTTTGGCATTCTACGTCGAAACTAACTAGAATATCTTGTGGATCTAATGTAATGCTTTTTTCAATGAAGTGAAAGGAATTAAGGACAAAAGCTAGATATTTTGCGAGAGAATATGTTGGTGTCGACAATAAGTCCAAGAGGTAATCCTGGTTTGTGGATCTTTGAGAGTTCGTAGAGACGAGGAATTTTAGAGTCATGGGGCTGGCAGATTTTTTCACGGAGTCTGATAGAGAAGAAGGATATTATTAAGAATAACAGATTTAAGGTTGCGATCCATAGATGACGTAGAATCTTTTTTAAGTAGGCCATATGATCCGTCTCTAAGAATATCTTGAATCTTTTCCTGATATTCATTTGTGTTCATGACCACCGTAGCATTTCCTTCATCTGCTTTTAGGATTACGATGTCTGGATTAGATTTTAGGGATTATAAGGCAATGCGTTCAGGCTTTGCATTATTAGATTTAGGAGGTTTTGATTTTTTAATGATTTTTGCCGTTTCAAATCGAATTTTATTAGCTGTTTGAGATGGCAGTTTGTTTAGGATAGACTCGACATTTGAAATGATTTCCTCTTTTGGGATAATGCCTGGGGTAAGGACGAAGTTAAACGCTAAAGAACATCATTTCAGATATATTAAAATGAGAGAATCTGGAATCAAACCTTCTCAACATAATCAAACAATGCTTGTCTCAAACATAATTTTCTTATAACGGTCAAATTTTTGAAGAAACGTCGAGAACAGCTATGGGTTCTCCACTATCACCAGTAATCGCGAATATATAAATGAAAGCCTTTGAGAAGAAAGCTCTCAACACCTTTCATATAGAACCAAAATTATGGAAACGCTTCGTCGATGATATTTTTGTTATTTGGCCTCACGGTCAAGAAACCCTAGTAGATTTTCTTAGGCATTCAAGCTCTGTACACCCTAACATACGTTTTACCATTGAGTTGGAAACTAATAATAACCTTCCATTCTTAGATATTCTTATCAATAGGAAACCAGACCTAACATTTGGTCATTGTGTTTACAGAAAACCTACGCACACAGACCGATACCTTAATGCATGGTCACATCACCATCCGGCCCAAAAATCATCAATTCTCTTGTTTACAGAGCCGCAAAATAATGTCAGCCCCAGTCACTGAACCCAAAATTAAAACACCTTACTTTTACTCTTCTCTCTAATAATTTCTACGTTAAAGATATTAAGCGTTCCATCAAAAAATACACTTCAGAACAACGTTCCAATAGCAATGATGCCGGAAGCAATCCTACGCTTGCCACTGTGGTCCTTCTTTACATTCAAAATATCGCTGACCACGTATCAAAAGTTCTAAAGAAGTATTAACGTCAAAACCAGATTTACAACTTGTCCAAAAATCTCTCAGTATCTTCGGTCCGTCAAAGACCAAATACCATATGGGATGCCAGGAGTTTACAGCATTTGATGCATATGCGGCAAAGAATACTGAAGATTATTGGAGAGACCGGACGAAAAATATCAACCAGGATGAAAGAACACGAAAGGGCCTTACGAACAAGACATATAAACTCATCAGGTGTTGCCGAACACAATAACGAAACCGGACGTAAAATTCAATCAATTCTTCTACCAACGAACAATCCGAGAGTCTATAGAAATCTATAAACAACCTAACAATCTCGCGACTCAGGTCTTTATCTGTCACCAATATGGGAATCAGTCATCCGAGAGGGTGTTTATGGTCCTCATTTATCTCCGCCCCCCTCAAACAAATATAAGCAGGTACAGAGTAAATTAGGAGCCAGTTTCAGTCAAGCTCTGAAGAAGTCAACAGGATAATTGGCGAAACGTCAGCACGTTCGACTCAGCAAAAACCGACGCGGGAGGAATACAGAAGTTTTGTAAAAAGTATTACAGTAGACTGTGAAAGTTTTAAAACACTAAACGTTTATTCTTAATATTTTTTCAAAGATATATAGGGTGTGTCGCTTTTTCAACAGATTTATATAGCGATCTGGGAACAAATTAAGCAAGTGATCCTAGAAAATACCATGTTTCTAAGTGATATTAGTATCGTCGACATCAAAATCATAATATATAGTTTTAAACTCAAAAAATACACCTGTTGGGACAATATCAGAAGCGACACATTAAGCCCTCACTCATATATTAACTAAGAGCTTTCAGCAGTAGTGTTTTTCAAAGTGTCCAAACTATTTATTTATTTATTTTTAAATTAATTTTTTTTATTGCATAAATATTTTTTCACTTTTTGACAAAAATATTATAAGTCTCATTTTTCACAATGTTGATCTATATATTTGAGGCCGCACATATTGGATTTTGCGATTCTTTATTTCTTCTGGCATTCCATAACTTATCTCAGGGTGATTTCTTAAGTTGTGTTGTATGTATTGATATGGGTTATTTTGGCGTTGCTTTTAGTTTTGTTCCGTATTATTTAAGATATAAGTTTAAATTTTTCAAATTTTAATATAATTTCAATCGAATTAATTTGAAGTAAATGATAACAGCGTTTCGGTGTTGTATTATATTTATTTTATTAAAGTTTGTATTATTACATGTACCCCAGAAAGACGCATTATAAATTTTATATCTTGCAATTTCCCTTAAAAAAATAATTGCATCTGTACAGCGCTGCAACTAAGGGAACTATTTTGTTATTTGTGCGAGCAATGTAGTATTTCAATTTAGCTGCTCGTCAAGCATCAGCCGTAAACATTTCATTTTATCAACGCTTTCCAAAGTAAAATCATTTATCGTAATATTAAAGTTATTACTTTTTTTTATTTTTTTGTTTAATATATGTATTTAGTTTAATCAATGTTTATTGTTAATTTGTTATTTAATAGCCAGTTGTCGTATCCTTTATTTGCTATATTTGCCAATACTTCTGAATTTTTTGATTCATAAATTAAGACCGTATCATCTGCAAATGTATAATATTGAACTTCCAATCCAGCCAAGCACAATTTATACAAGAGGGGCCGAAACCCTGAGAGACCCCACAATTATCAACCATAACTCTGCTACCGCAGTCTTCCAGAGTCACGTATTGTCTGCGGTTGGTTTAGTATCTTCTAATGACTAATCTCTAAATTCCAATCTTATCGATAAGCAAACCATAATGAACAATATCGAACGCTTTTCTTAAGTCCACGAACATAGCCAAAACCACCCTTCCCTGATCAAGACTATTTGATATTAAGTTCACTAACTCCATCAAAAATCCTTTTCTTACCTTTTCAACTTGACTTCATTTTAAGTAAATAATCATCGCCATAATTATAAAAGTTTTTGTAGGCATATAGATGATATTTAAAATGTTTATGTGACCGTTCAAATTGAAAAGTATAAATAAGGCACTTTAGGGCAGTTTTATGGGATATCTCGGGTTATTTTTTAAGATAGAAAGTTGCGGTTGACGCGTCACTGTACTACTTTTTATCATGGGCCTCTTGGTTTTTAAGATACAATTGTTTGTTACTTATGAATATATATATTTTTTCATGGAACTCATTGTATTTTTTTACATTAGTTGTAAATCATTTCAGCTTTTCAAAAATCTATACTAGTTTTAAGTTCTTTTGAAAATGAAGCTCATTTTTCTTTTCATTTTTTCCATTATTTGTAGCAGTAGACCATGATAAATTTATTAAAAACAATATCCAAGTAAACAATTGTTAACATACACAAAAATCAATAATTGAAAATTCAATTATTTTAATGTGTTTTATACGTTGTGAACCACTATTTGTCAATATTTTCAACTTATTATAGTCCACTATTACATTAATTAATTAATATAAAATAACATTATATCTAAAGAATATTAATATAATATTATACCTAAAACTGTTGTTCAAATTTTAGACCTACTAAGCTGCCTAGTCCTACTAAAGAAACCGAATTAACTTCATATTTCACATAATTTTAGAGTGGCACAAAGTGGTCTACAGGGCGAAACACACAATTTTTTGATAAAAATGTTTCTCGTCACCTTTGGCGGCGAAAAAATTACAAGCTGTCTCGTCCTAGTAAAGACAGCAAAATCAACTTCTTATTCCACATATGTTTGGGGCGGCACAAAATCGTCTACAGCGTGAAACACACAAATTTTTGATAAAAATGTGTTTTCGACACCTTCGACGGCGAAAAAATTACAAGCTGCCTAGTCCTATTAAAGAAACCAAAATTAACTTCATATTCCAGATATTCTGGACGCGGCACAAAATCGCCTACAGAGTGAAACACACAATTTTTTGATAAAAATGTTTTTCGACTCCTTCGAAAGCGAAAAAATTATAAGCTGCCTAGTCCTACTAAAGAAAGCAAAATTAAATTCATATTCCACATATTTTCAACGCGGTACAAAATCGTCTACAGGGTGAAACACACAATCTTTTGATAAAAATGTGTTTTTCGACCCCCCTCGACGGCGAAAATATTACAAGCTGTCTAGTCCTACTAAAGAAAGAAAAATTAACATCATATTACTTAAATATTCAAAATTCGGGAGAGCGTTATTAAAAAACATTTATTTATACACAAAGCAAAATAAAGTTTTATTCGGACTAGTCGATACAAAGGCTGAAATAAGAGCAATTTTATAATATGACAATCGAATAAATAGGGCTGTCGATGCGGTGTCAGGGAGGCATTGTCTTTGCTTAGCTTTGGGCTTCGTCTGCAGTTTGGAGCATATAACTTATTCTACATATTTTTATCGCGTCAAAAAATCATCTACAGTGTGAAACACAATTTTATGATAAAAATTTGTTTTTCGACACCTTCGACTTCAAAAAATTTACAAGCTGCCTGGTTCTATTAAAGAAAGCAAAATTAACTTCATTCCGCTTATTTTTGACGCGGCACAAAATCGCCTACAAAATGAAACGAGATAAGGGTAGCTTTTTCAAGGTTGCACATTTAATAAACTGGCAAAAATTCATTTTTTACGTGTTCATTTACTTTTCCCCTGATTTTTGGTAAATGCAAAAATGTCTACATTAATGGAATACTTCCTTTCACCATGGTACTTGCTCTTTTTAGGATTTTCTTTTATTTGCTCGGATGAAGCAGAAATTAGAAAAGTGTCTTTTTTTAGTTAAGCAGTTCGCAACCCTTCAAATTATCGTCAGTGATGGTGGCGAGAATTAGCAAACTTCCTTATATAGGAAGATTTAAAGATCAAAATCCTCTTATGCATGAAGTCTTCACGGATATTCCGGCCAAAGAACCTGAAGTTCCCCCAAGGATTGTTCCACTATGGATTATTCTACTGTCGGCAATCGCTGGTACAATTATCCTGTTGCTAGTAATTCTGTTTCTTTACAAGGTAAGTCCTAAATGTAGTATCACTGTATGTTGGCTAGAAATGTTTAAGTATATACGTTTTTTTCCATTAAAAAATTGTCTAACAAAACCAAAATATTGGTCGAAAATAATATGTCATGGGCTATTTTGAAAAGGTGTAGAGTAATAAAAATTAATTTGGTAACAATTCTTTCATTTTATGGAGTAATGTTGCCAATCAACATTATACATAAAATAAATCATAATATTCTTCGTAATTTGAGGGACTGAAATTGGTAGAATGATTCTGCTAATTTTTTCTTTAAACTGCCACGAATCTTTAATATAGTATTCATTATCATTCACTATGTTTTTTAAGATGTTTTTAAAGAATTTTGATAATTTTTCGAATCGATCGATTTAGCTATAGACATAATAAATAAAAAATGGGACATGATCAAACTTCACACAGATATTCCACTAGACGAGTTCGTGGAAGCCATAAAATTAACTCTAAATTCGACCTATTTCATATATAATAATAAATATTACAAGCAGATTGACGGTTGTGCCATGGGTGCTTCTATTTCGAGTGTAATTGTGCAACTTGTTCTCGAAGACCTAGAAAAAACAGTTATTGACAAAATGACTATTAAATTACCCTGTTTCTATCGATATGTCGACGACTGTTTTCTAGCAATACCTAAGGAAAAGGGCGACCTCATTCTGAATAGTTTTAACTCATATCACACAAAGATAAAATTTACCATAGAATATGAAAAAGATGACAAAATTAACTTCTTAGACATGACACTAATACGCAAGGAAAACAAAATCAGAACGATGTGGTACACAAAAGATACATGGTCTGGACGATACCTTTTTTCACTCCCAACACCCAATATCACAAAAAAGACTGTAATTATCGGGTTGGCTGACAGAGCTATAAATCTATCTGATCCAGAATACAGAAAAGAAGCTTTATATAAGGCTAAGTACACACTAAAACTAAACAATTACCCAAGTGCGTTAATTAACTCTATTTTTAAAAGAAGGATACATAAATTCTACAACAAGATTTCTGTTAAGGAAAACACACAACCATCAAAACGAGAATATTGTTCGTTATCATACATACCAAATTTATCGGAAAAAATCTCGAATGTGTTTAAGGGAAGCTCTGTAACAATCTGCCACAAGGGTCAAAATTTGTTAAATAGGAATTTCAGTAAACTAAAAACCCCAATACCCAAAGATAAAAAAAAGTCACATTGTATATCAAATACCATGCAACGACTGTGACCAAGTGTACATTGGACAGACTAGCCAACTGTTGAGGAACCGCATCAATGGTCATAAGTACGACAAAAAAAATAAAACAGCCATCAGCAGCCATATAACGGAGAAAACACATACCTTTAACTTCGATGACACAAAAATACTTGCTACCGAACCAAACACACAAAAAAGGGAAATAATTGAGATGATACATATTCAAAGGAATAAAAACGCCATAAACGCGAAAACCAACATAAAACACCTGAGTGAAATCTATTTCGAATTGTTAAAGTAGACCATTTTAATGCTCAGATGCTTCACTGCGTATCAGTAGATCTTAAACTTAACACAAACAGGATAGACAAGGACGACATTATGGCAAGTTTCGATGTCAAATCCCTCTACCCGAGCATTCCAGTTGAAGAGGCACTCTTGCTTATAGAAGAAAACGAAGATCTTCCGCCGTACATAATAGATGTGTCAAGACATTGCCTGAAAAACGCTTACTTTATGTACGACGGGAAAATTTACCGACAAATAGATGGAGCAGCAATGGGATCATCTCTCTCACCTGTGATTGCCAACCTCTTCATGATTTACTTCGAAAAGAAAGCAATAGAGAAGGCAAATCTGAAACCAAAACTATATATATATATATATATATATATATATATATATATATATATATATATATATATATATATATATATATATATATATATATATATATATATATATATATATATATATATATATATATATATATATATACATATATATAAAGTAAATTTATTAATATTAAGAATATTACCCTACACATTTCTAAAATAGTCTATAGTTAGAGTTCAACATCTAACATAAAAAAAAACACCTTATTGAGGGTCAAAAATAAAGACAGGATTTATAATTCATCAGACTTTTAACTTTAAAATATACAGACTTAAGAACTGTACACCCCAAATTTTTATTGTTTGATTTTGATATATCTTTTTGTTGGACAGATCTCTTAAAAATGACTTTAGGCTGAAGCAATAAGCACCTGACCAAAACTAACAAAAAAAATTTTTCCCTTTTCCAAATCGAAACAAGCCAAGATTTTACAAGGGGGTACACACAGTATATATGTCCAGTGTCTCATTCAATATCTTTTTTAGTGTGGATTCTTTAGAAGAAACAGACCATCATCAACACCAGAAAGGCAGCCTCTTAATCGCAACGGTTATCAAAATGGAGATGAAGCGCTTTAATAAATACGAAATAATAATTGAAGGCTGTGAAAATGATTATATGTGCGGTAGCTAAAGTACTGGTAACTAATGAGACGTAACTTATTTGTAAATGTTTGTGAGTATGTGTGTAAATTAATTTTGTTTGTTTAATTGCGAAATTTCTTCTACTAAGGGTCTTGATAAAATACGCCATCAATATATTTACTAATTCATCTGACTTCAAAGCTAAACTTAACACGTTAAAATTTAAGTAGCGCACTTCATGTGCAAATTGATACTGAAATTTTAATTGCGTACTTCTTAGTATGTTTATCAGTTTTTAATATTAATGCATATATGTTATATGTAAGTAATTTATTATTTGTAATTAATATATATTTACACCTAAGTAACTAAAAAATACATAGGCTAGATTCGTGGTGACTTAAGGTGGCTTAAGTATGTCCAAATCATGTATAAATGTGCCTTATTTACTCAATTCAATAATTCAAATATATTTAAAATAAATGATTAGCTGCTATTCTAACATAACATGGACGCTTTCTTAAACTAAAATAACTGGGTAAGTTGCGCGCAGTTAAACCATACATGAGCAAATGGCACAATGAATATCAATGTTCAATTAAAAATAGGTCATTGCCAACATTTATTTTTCTTTGTTTACATACAACCCAAATTCGCATACGCATAAAATCGAGTGTCTTCAAAGTAATTTTTGTAAATAACTAAACTTGTTAAAACTAATTTAAGAAATGTGTAAATAAATTGTACCGTTTTTTTTTATATTTATTCCAAAGACCACAATAGAATTGGTATAAATATATATAAAATTCTTATTCAGAGAAAACTTATATTTGTTAATTAACTTTCAGTTAGTATAGAAAAGGTCAATTTATACACGAAAAAACAAATAAGAGATTAGCAAAATGTATATAACTAGACGAGCAGATCAACTAATTAACAAATTAAACTTACTTTTTAGAGGAGCGAACAGTAGAGCTATGTAGATCGTGGTTTCATTCTTTTCAAAAGTTATGAGAAAATGAAAAATACAAAAATTGTCCGGATGCTGAACCCTGCATACCCGCAGGCACTTAAATAGCCCAGTGAACAACTTGATTCTGAAAACTTACCTGTGATAAGCGATAAACTGAGAATATCAGTATTAAAAATAAGTTCTAAGTAGGTGCTTCGCTACTTCCTATTTAAATTAAATATTATTATTACCAATATTTACTCTATTTATTATCAATATAGCAGTAATTATGTTTTGTACCAAAACACGTTGAAACCTGAACCACAATCATAATATCAGAATAAATAAAAATTAAACTTGAATTTGAATGTTATTGCACTTTTTTACACAAATATTGAATTTTGTTATACAGTAAACTTAAATTAAGTTAAACGGAATTTCAGACGAATTAATACCAATATAATAAAAAAGACTTTAATAAAGAAAAATTGAATCTGTAACAATACTTCCTATATTTAAATTCTTTAATTATCTTCAATGGGTTTTTATTGTTGAAATTTTCCTTTTTTAGAAAAGGCAAAGCAAAAACGAAAAATAACCGAAATTTACAAACAATTCAAATTGACTGGGAGCAACATTAATTTGAATCAAACAAATAATGTCACAAAACTCTAAATGAAGCAAATAGCAAACACCGACTCAAGTACCATCTCGCGGTAGATGCCCGAACAAAATCCAATCTGATTATCTGGTTGCCTAACAACCTTTCACGTAGCAAACAATTAAGTTTTTCAAATATTTTGGATCAAATTTCTAACAGTGCCGATCCAATCAGAAGGCAGTATCAACAATCTGAATCGAAGGTGACATCAGATATAATCATCTCCTTTTAAAACGGAAATTTTCCTTTTGGGGCCAAGATGGACATCAAGAAAATCCAATGGATTCCAAACGTTCTTTCTAATTGAGTTTGGTTATTGTGGTGTATTGGCCACGCCGCATCCCGGGACGACGGCAACGTGGGAGCCTTGTAAAATAAATAAGAACTAAAAGTTCAAATTTTCACGAAATTATATATTATGACATGACAATTGTTTCGACAGCACCGTGTCTTTATCAATCAATGAAAGACACGGTGTTGGCGAAACAATTGTCATTTAAAAATATATAATTTCGTGAAAATATGAACTTTTAGTTCTTATTTATTTTGATAAATGGATTTCCATCAAGTAAAAGCCACCTCAGTTCAATCCTTGTAAAATAGTTTATGCTGGAGTATTCTCCGTAGAGCTTCCCGCTAACTAGCAAGTTGGATAACAGGCGCGGTCCTCGTGGAATAAAGAACTTTTCTAATTAATGGTATAAATTAACTTACTTGTGTTCTTTCTAAAACAAGGTCCGCGGACATATTAGTTATGATTTACATGTTTTACTCTTTTTTTTTGGGAATAAACTGACTTGCCAATTTCACAACTTGGAATTTTCAAGTACCACAACTCAAAACAAACTGATTTTTTAATTTTAAATATCTGAGAAAATGGTTTAGTTAATTTTGCGTTAGTTGAAAAAAATAAGAAAACATTTTTTAATTTTTCAAAGAAACTTCCACAGGCTACTGTAATACTTTTTACAAAAATTCTGGATTTCTCCTGCGTCGGTTTTTGCTGAGTCGAAATTGCTGACGTTTCGCGAATCATCCCTGTTGGCTTCTTCAGTGCTTGACTGAAACTGGTTCGTATTTTACTCTGTACCTGCTTATATTTGTTTGAGGGGGGCGGAGATAAATGAGGGCCATAAACACCTTCTCGGATGACTGATTCCCAAATTGGTGACAGGTAGAGACCTGAGTCGCGGTTTAGATTGTTAGGTTGTTTATAGATTTCTATAAACTCTTGGATTTTTCGTTGGTAGAAGAACTGATTACATGCAAGAATTTTAGTTTTTTCGAATAAAATTTTATGCCCTGTTTCATGAGTGTGTTCGGCAACAGCTGATGAGTTTATTTGTCTTAGTCGTGAGGCTCTTTCGTGTTCTTTGAGCCTAGTTGATATTTTTCGTCCGGTCTCTACAATGTATTCTTTGCTGCATATGCATGGAATGCTGTAAACTCCTGGCGTCTCAAATGGAATTTTGTCTTTGAAAGACTGCAGATGTTGAGAGATTTTTGGACAAGTGGTAAATCTGGTTTTGACGTTATACTTCTTTAGAACTTTTGATATGTAGTCAGTGATGTTTTGAATGTAAGGAAGGACCACAGTGGCAAGTGTAGGATTGCTTTCCGCCTCATTGCTATTGGAAGGTTGTGGTGAAGTGTATTTTTTGATGGAACGCTTAATATCTTTAATGTGGAAATTATTAGAGAGAAGAGCAGAGGTAAGGTGTTTTAATTCTGTTTTCAGTGACTCGGGCTAAGATAGTTTTACGGCTCTGTGAACAAGAGAGTTGATAACCGATGATTTTTGGGCCGGATGCATTAAGGTATCGGTCTGTGTGCGTAGGTTTTCTGTAAACACAATGATCCAATGTTAGGTCTGATTTTCTATTAATAAGAATATCTAAGAATGGCAGGTTAGCAGGCAGCTTCCAACTCAATGGTAAAACGTATGTATCGAATTTAAATGTCTAAGAAAATCTACTAGGGTTTCTTGACCATTAGGCCAAATAACAAAAGTATCATCGACGTAGCGTTTCCATAATTTTGGTTTTAGATGAAAGGTGTCGAGAGCTTTCTTCTTAAAGCCTTCCATAAATATATTCGCGATGACTGGTGATAGTGCAGAACCCATAGCAGTTCTCGACGTTTGTACAAAAATTTGACCGTTATAAGAAAAATATGTTCCCAATAAGCATTTTTCAATTAAGGTGAGAAGGTTTGGTTTCAGATTCTCGAGTTTTAATATATCCGAAATGATGTCCAGAGTTTCAGGAACATGAACTTTGGTAAAGAGGGATTCTCCGTCGAAACTAACTAGAATATCTTGTTTATCTAATGTAATGCTTTTTAATTGTTCAATAAAGTGAAAGGAATTAAGTACGAAACTGTCAGTTTTTCCCGTAAGGGGTTTTAATAAGGAAGCTAGATATTTTGCTAGAGAATGTGTTGGAGAACCAATGGTGCTGACAATAGGTCCAAGGGGTAATCCTGTTTTGTGAATCTTTGGAAGTACGTAGAGACGAGGAATTTTAGAGTGAGGGGTAACAGATTTTTTCACGGAGTCTGATAGAGAAGAAGCCTTAATAACAAATTTAATGTTGCGATCCATAGATGGCGTAGGATCTTTTTTAAGTTATGATATGATCCGTGTGTAAAAATATCTTGAATCTTTTCCTGATATTCATTTATGTCCATGACTACTATGAAAGAAATAATTTTTCAATTTCCGAAAGTTGGTGCGATGATACATTTAATACAGTGTTTGGTAGTTTAGAAGAATTTGATGGTTTTCCTAGTGTTGACGTTAGTTTTTCAAATTTCTGAATGTGATTTTGGGTAGTAGATAAATGAAGATTTAAAGTTTTGTCGTGAATCATGTTTGAAAGGATATCGGACTCGGATGGGGACAAAACAGAAGAAATTTCAAGGTGTAGAGACAGAAGAGCCTTATTGATTTGGTCTATTTCCTTAAGGGTATGATAAATTCTTTATCAAAGTAAAGCGAAACTAGATTTTCGAAAAATTTTATAAGCGGATGAGGTTGTGATGTGATGGGAAATTTTAAGAAATTTGGAGATAACGTTATGGTCTCTACAACGTAACAAAAAGGTCAGTGTACAGAGTAATCTTACCAGTTTCAGTCGGTGATCTTCTAACTTTCTGCATCTCAAACCATATATAAGCTGGTACAGAGTAAAATACGAGCCAGTTTCAGTCAAGCTCTGAAGAAGCCAACAGGATGGTTGGCAAAACGTCAGCAATTTCGACTCAGAAAAAACCGACGCAGGAGGAATCCAGAAGGTTTGTGAAAAGTAAAACATTTTTTAGTTAAATGTTCCTTTTAATACAGCGCTTAAGTAAAAATAACTAAAAATGCTAGATTTAGTTACTTGAAAAAGACAAGAAAATTTAATAATTTGAAGTATAAAAAAGTGTTTACGTGTAATGTGATTCCACAAATTTTTGACGCGGCACAAAATCGTCTACAGGGTGAAATTTTTTTTTTTGATAAAAATGTGTTCTTATTATAATTAATTATTATAAGCTGCCTGGTCCTACAAAAGAAAGCAAAATTGATTCATATTACACATATTTTTAGAGTGGCATAGAATCGTCTACAGCAGTGGTGGGAACACTTTTTTTAAGGCGCGCCATTTGTTTTAACTAGACGATCGTAGCAGGCCAAAGAATAATGGTTAATATAAATTTATGTGTTTTATAAACATATTCATATATTATTACATACACTTATTATTTTAATAGTAAAAAAGCATAAGGTAAGAAAATTATTAGCACAAAATATAAAATGAATTTAGTGTAGTTCTTGATGTGAAGTATTATCACTTTATTTTCTGGTGTCATTACTGGTTGCCGGTGCAGGAGAAAAATGAAATTGAGACTGATTTATCAAAATTTCATCATAGTCCGGTTCCATTTGCGAAGCAGACATTCTTAAACCTGATGAAAGGTGCTCATTTGTAATTCTGTTTCTTAAAGAAGTTTTCCTAAGCTTCATTGTTGAAAAGATTTGTTTGCATATATAAGATAAGCGGAACATTGTCATTATCTTCATTGCATGAGTAATTAGAATTGGGAAATTATCCGGACTTAAATTTTTATAAAATTCTAGTAATGGTACTGTATGAAAAGTTTGTTTCAGGAGAGTATTACAGTTCAGTTCTATTAACTGAAATTGAATTTTTGCATCAACTTCATCGTAATTAACATTGAATGGGGTCCTGAAATCTCCTGTCCAATTCTGAAGCTAGTTTCTCAAATTAATTTCGTATTTTTTAATCTTATTGTTTGATAAAGTAAATTTTAAAGATTGTATTCTTGGAAAATGAGAAAAATTTAAATATCCGATTAGTAAATAATAATAACTGTAATTTGAAATTCTTCAGGTATTGCCAAATATTGTGAAGAGACTGATTTTTCCCTTGCAATTTGAGATTAAGTTGATTCATGTGTAGGAGGAGGTCTGTGCAAAAAGCGAAATCAGAAAGCCACGTTTCGTTTTCTAAGACGTCAAATTGATTATAAATGTCTTTATCAAGAACAAAATTCGCAATATCGTCCCGCATTTGTAATTTGCACTTTTACGATTTTAAACAATTCCGTGGTCCAATTGGGAGTATAATCTTTGCTGAACGCATGCTTGGTCTCGCTGAGTTTTACAACGTCGCCCAG